TAGCCTCAAATTCCTGGACTCAAATGATCCTCCTGCCTCAGCCTCCTGAGTAGCTGGGACTACAGATGCATGCCACTGTACTCAGCTATATTTTTGTATTATTTTTTTGTAGAGACAGAGTCTCTCTATGGTACCCAGGCTGGTCTTGAACTCCTGGCATCAAGTGATCCTCCCACCTGGGCCTCCCAAAGTGCTGGACAGGGTATCGGCCTACCCTTACATATCTTTCCGTTTTTTTTTTTTTTTGAGACAGATTCTCACTTGTCACCCTCACCAGAGTGCCATAGCGTCATAGCTCACAGCAACCTCAAACTCTTGGGCTCAAGTGATTTTCTTGTCTCAGCCTCCAAAGCAGCTGGGACCACAGGCACCTGCCACAATGCCCAACTATTTTTAGAGATGGAGCCTCACTCTGGCTCCATCTTGAACTCCTGAGCCCAAGCAATCCACCTGCCTTGGCCTCCCAGAGTGCTAGGATTACAGGCACGAGCCACTACACCCAGCCTCTTTACATATCCTTCTAAGATTTTTTTGTTTTTTTGCATTTGCCCATACACAGAGGTCACAAAAATCTCAAGTCCACTGAATGTGGGTGGGCTTGAAGGATGTGAGGCCTCACTAATAAGGTCCCTGTAGTTTATTGTAAGGACTTTGGCCTTGGAGATGGAAGCCATAGGTAGGTTTTGAATAAAAGTGGTCTGACTTTGTTTAACAATGTCCCTCTGGCTCTTTAGCTGAGAGTAGATAAGGAGTGGAAGTGGACAGTGATATGGGGTGTGGGCAGAAGCAAAGAGACCAACTGGGAGACTGTGACTGTGACATACTCCAGACCAACTGGGAGACTATGACTGTGACAATAGTCCAGACCAACTGGGAGACTGTGACTGTGACAATAATCCAGAGAAGACATGACAGTGGCTCAAACTAGGGAAGTTGGTCAGGAGTGAGTGAGCACATTCCACATCTATTTTGAAGGTAGTCCAAAAAGAAATGGCTGATGGACTAGATGTGAATATGAAAGACAGAAGTCAAGATTTTTGGCCTGAGACACTGGAAGGATGGAGTTGTCATTAACTGATACGAGGAACAGATTTGAGGTTGGTAGTAAAGTCAGAAGGTCTGCCTGAATATGTTAATTTTGAGATGTCTACTAGGCCTCCAAGTGGAGGCACCAACAGACAGTTGGAGTTTAGAACCCAGAGACTGCAGCTATCAATCTCGGAGCTGTTGGCATGTAGATGGTATCTAAAGATCTGCTCTGGCTCTCCTGAACAGCTATCAGCTAGGTAAGCTGTCACTCAAAGCCTCAGACACTGTCTTGTTCCTGGCCCAGCTCCAGGCTTCTCAGGGAGGCAGGCCAGAAAAGGGACAGTCATGCAGAGACTAGAAAGGGGCAGTCAGAAGCAGGCAGACTTGTACCTACTATGTGGCACTTCAAGCCAGGGCTGGGTAGTCCCCACCACTTCCAAGCCACTGCAGTTAGTTGAAAAACAGGATCAACTGCTCACCCGATAAGTCTGGTTTCAGAGGGACATAGTGCAGTGATGGGTCAAAGGTTACACTTGCTGATTTTTGCTTGCCAGGATTCATCTGTACACCCAGGGCCACAGCCTGCAGCTTGCAATGAGAACAGTCCTTCCTAGGGATGCAGCCTTTCCACTCAAGGCCGGGAGCTGCTGGAGGCAGGCCCTGGCCATTTATGAGAAAAAGAATGAGCTGAGTGACGTCAGCGCTGGGTCCCACTGTCAGCTTCCCATTTCTTCCCCATGGGAAGGCATGAGACTCTCTGAAGGGCCCTGAGCCATCCTGGCTTAGCCTAGAAACCTTCCCTTGCTAGGGAAACCTCAAGACTCACAGGCAGTGTTCATCCCCCATTCCTCTGCTTCTGCGCCAAATTGCTGCCGAGAATCTTGCTTCTAAAATCCTGACACTCTCTTTGCCCTGAGGCTTCTGTCCCCACACCCTAATTCATAATCCCACTTCTGTCCTACAGTAGGCCCCCGCATGTGGGCCAGGTAGAAACTGCAGCCAGATCAGGTTCTCTCCCACCCTGCTCTTTGGGATCCCCAAAGGGGTGCCTCCTTGGCTCACTGCTCTTAGAAGAGCCTTTCTGTGCATGCCCCACTTTTCTTTTTGTATCACCCTCCTTTTTGCTGGTCTTTGTCCCATTGCTGTGGGATGCTGCCTCCTCAGGTCACCCCATGGGAACTTGCCTATACTTGGTCACAGTTTCCCTGGGCCTAGCTCATCCCAACTGTCTGTAATGAAAAATCAAGTGCCCGGTTCCCCACAAGCCAAAATTCGGTTAAAGTGTTCAGGTCTCACGTCGGGACACTCACAACTTCCCCCAGAGACCCTGGAGATGTTTCCCCTCCCATCCCCCCTAGTGGAGTGCCCCCAGGCCTAAGTAAACCAGGTCCCTGAAACCCAGATGCCCACAGTCCCCAGGACAGGGCTGGGGTCCCCGCTTCCTGAACCATTTCCTGGGCCCTTCATGCCCTACCCTGTCCCTTACTTGGCTGTGGAGGGGACAAGCAGGCAGGGACCCCTTTACCTGACAGGCTGGGTGCCTCAGATCCAGGGCACAGGCTTCTGGGCACTGTGGCTCCAGGGGGCGCTGTGCTCCTGATCCTGGGGCGGCCCCTGCAGGGCAGGCATGGAAGTGGTTCCAGTTGGAGGTCCTCTCCCCACCCCCATCCCTGTGGAGGGAGGGGCTCAGGGCACTCTTGCCCTCCTCACCACCTCCAGAGGGTCCCAGATTCCCAGCTATGGGGAAGGAGCTGTTTCTCATGAGTTGCAGCTCTTGGCAGTCAGGAGCTTCTGGAATGGCTTGAGGGAGCTAGAGACTCTTAGCCATACCCTACATCCACTTGTGCCCACTGCCCAAGCTGGCCTAGCCAGTCCCCTACTCTTCTCAGGGAGATGACTCCCAGAGCCTAGCTCCTCCAGCCTGGGAAAAACCTTCAGGAGCTTTGACAGTGGTACTGCTTGCTTCCATCCTGCCAGGGAGGCACTGAATCTGAGATCTTCCCTCTACCACCCCACCCATCCCACTGGCTCCCCAGGTACTTGGCCAGACCAGCTGGGGAGGCCAGACAACTTGGTCCTCTTCAGCTGGGCACAGCTTCTGCTCAGAAAACCTGGCACCAGAAACCCTTCATCCTCAGTTCAGCCAATCACAGAGAACAGACTTTATTGAAGTGTTTTGCATTAATACCCATACAGTTCCAGCCCGGCAGCCAAGGACACAGCCACTTTGCAACTGCATTGGGCATTATACAGGACCAATAAGTTAATACACAGGACACTCAGGTGTGGGGGAGGGGGCCGGTGCTGAGACATCTCCTGGCTTAGCCCAAGAAGTTCTGGGCTGCAGGGAGGACACAGGAGGGTGGGAGAATGGATAGCTGTACATTGCAGAAAGGGGCTTGGAGACAAACCACAAGAGAACAGCATCCAAAGGAGGGCATTCAAATATAATGGGGGACAGAGCCCAAAAGGTGGTGGCTGCCTCAGGATGTGGTAAGAACACAGCATAGGAAATGTCAGGTGCATCACCTTAGCTCCCTTCTCCTGCCCCAGATTCCTCTGATGGGCCATCTTAGCTCTTCCTTCAGTACCCTTGTACAACCAGTCACACCATTCTCTTTCTAACAGGGAGATATGTGCCCACTTTGGTCAGGCATGAAAGTTCTGGGAGTCTTCTGTGGTATTCAGTCTCTGTTCCAGTTCAGGGAACTTGGAGAGAGTTCTACACAGTTAAAGTCAGAACCCCACTCTCCCCAGCCCTCAACTCAGTTGCTTTCTCACTGAAGCAGGAACCCTACCCGGGTATCTGACCTAGAAGCAAGGAAGGCTCAGGATGAGAACCTAGGGACTATCAGGCAGTCTTAGTATAGGTAGCCTCCAGCCCTGCCCCAGTTCCAGCATCTGAGATAATTAATTAAGGCCCTTGAAGAAAATTCAGCATCTCTTCAGGGCTCGGAAGTGAACATGCCCATGATTCTGTAAATAAGGACTTTCTCTGAGCAGAAGCATAGTTTTGAGGGGAATTGGAACAGTGACCTCTAGCCCCTCCCCTATGCCCAGAAAATGCTACAAAAGTGGTGCCTTTCTAAAAATACTTTTAAGGTATTGGTTTTCAGGGCCATGATGAAAAGATGTTAGTGGAGGGACTACAAGCCCCTGAAATGCCCATGGTGGCTGTCAGGGGTGAGCTGCTCTCCACTAACCAATGCAGGCCAGCCAGACCCCGCCCTGCCTCCTCCCCCATGCTACAATCTGGTGAAGCCTCCAACTCCAGGCTCAGAGGTTTGGGAACTTACCAGGCATAGGGAGGGTATAATGACTGGATACCTAAAGGAGACTGATGGGGTCAGGAAACTAGCAGGGTCCAGGAAGACAATACGCCACGAGGATGTACTGACCTTTATCCTACCACTTGGTGCGTGCATCACAGAGCACATTATAAAGGGGGAAGGAGATTCTCTCCCAGCCCAGGATGGGTTACCCAGAAACCCAGGAAAGGGAGGACAGTTGTGTGCACAAGTGTGTGTCATATCCAGCCTCCAGCAATAATAGGACAAGAGTGCCGGGGTGAGTCTCCAGGTAAGTTCTCAGAACCAGAGCACAGCATCTGAGGAGTCCTCAAGGTGACCCTCTTCGCGTTGAGCATCCCCTGCCATGTATGTTGCACAAGGAGACAAACACTGTCAGTCAGACGGATAAGGCCTTAGTCCAGTAGGCCATACTCCGGGAGACAACACATAATCATATTACAGGGATCTTGAGGACAAATGACAAATATAAATCCTCAAGTCGGGGCTTCTGAAAAACTTGTGTTAAAAAAAGTTTCAGCTCCAAGTCATCGACCTGCGATGGGGGTGGGGAGCTGAACAAGGCACTCAGGAGTGGGGTGGGGGTCAGCCCAGCCCCACTATGAAAGTCTTTTCCGGGGGGGGGGGGCGAAGCATTTGGTGCACAGTTACACTTGGCCTGGGTTACACCTGGCTGATGATCTCTCCATTCTCAGGTACAAAGACTTGCACAGGGGCCCCTTCAGGTGATCTCCGGAGCACACACACTGCAGGTACCTGCCAGGGTCAGGAAGAAAGATGTGGATGAGCAAACTAGGTAGAAATGTCAGAACAGTAAGCCAAATTACACCATCCTCACCCCTTTGGGACACTAAGCAGTGGCAGCAGCACAGCCCTGGCACTCAGCCCCTCTGCCTCCCCAGGAAGCTCTTTCCCCCCAGGAGGCACCACCCTTTATCCATTTTCCACTCCAAGTTCCTTTGGGGTATGACAAGCACCCTGACCTCCACCTCCCCCACTTTTCCTGGGCTCACTTTCATCACCCTCCCTGTCAGGTTGGGATGGGCTGGGCCTGGCCAAGGACAAGTCTAAGCTCGCAGGAAGGAAAAAGCACTTCAGCTGAAGGGTGTGGCCTGGGACTGGGGCCAGGGTGCTGCCAGGCCTGGGATGCCAGCTGCAGCTGGCAAGAACTGTGGGTGGGGGAGGGACATGCAGCTGGGCCTGCTCAGAATCTGGGGTCTCAAAGGAGCAGCCTGTTAGTAACTTTTGGAGCACATCCCCTGCACATCCCTCCGTACCAGGGAGAAAGAATAAAGAAAGGATTCATGTGTGTTATCCCCACTTCCAGAAAGAAGAAACTGGATCCGAAGAAACTGGATCCAAAGAAACCAAGGCTGCCACCCCTATCCATATCAGGGTGCTCTATCCTATGTGCTACCACCAACCTGGTTCCTGGCCTATGGGGGCCCCACATGGTAATAATATCACTTATCTAGTGGTTACCAGACATTGCTCTAACCATTTCAGTCTCTTTTCAGCCCTATGACATAAGTATTTTGCTACTTTCATTTTCCAGAGCAAGCAGACTCAAAGAGGTTATGCAATTTACCTAATCACAGAAATTAAGTGACAGAGTGAGCTTTGAACCTGGTAGTCTAGCTGAGGGTCCACCTCTTAACTGTCATCCCACCCCGCTTCTCAGCTTAGAGCTGGGCAGGGCTATCAAGGGAGGAAGTTGATGGACCCTTAATTACAAGTTCTGGCTTCTCCAAATACATTTCCAGACTCTGCCTCTGTCCTGGGCCCTCAAGTCAGGAAATCGGGTCGGGGTGTGTGTGTGGTAATTTGGATTAGACTTTAGATTATGAAGTTTTATCTGCTTTGTAAATCATCTGTGGAGTCATTAGGGGAAAAAGCCTCAGCTATCTGCGAGGATCATCTCCACCAGGTACATGCTCTTGAGCTAGACAAGGGGCAAAATTAGGAGGCGCCCCAGGGAACTCAGGAATGCCTTCCAAAGCCAAGAGAAAATGATTTTTTTTGTCCATTCTTCCCCAGGTGGGGATCACCCGGCCACCAGGCTGCTGGTCTGATGCCTCTCTCGTCCTGGACCTGCTAGAACTGCAACCCTTCTCCAGTGAGACACCCTTCCTGCCTGGCCCTGGGGTCCCTTCCGAGCAGCCGCACCTGTGTTCGAGGCCCCAGAGCTCTGCCATAGCTCTCTCTACCAGGAGGCAGGCTCCGGACCCGGAAAGCCCCTTGGCGGTCCAGCGAATGGGGGCGGGCGCTGCGGAGGCGTGCCCGCTCGTGCCACCACTTGAGCTCCTCCGAGACCGCCGCCTTGCTGAGGGCCCGGCCGGCGGGGCTGTCCTTCAGCGAGGGCGTTCGCACGATGCGGCTGTGTGAGGGCACCAGGCGCTGGTAGCGCAGGGGGGCGCCCTCCTCCACGTAGGGTGGACCCAGGGCGGCGCGGCACAGCTCCCACTCGCCAGGCGGCAGGTGGCTCTCAGCCACCATCACATACCGCCCTGCCGGGAAATAGCCAGGAGGCAGCAGCAGCTTGGGGTAGTGGACGGCCAGCTCTCTGCTGCCAGCCGGGCCCCACGCCCCACGGTGGCGAGGGGGCTCTGGTGGGGACAGAGGCCGTAGGAAAGAGATGTCCGGGCTGCTGCTGCCTGGAGAGGTGGGGTGGGAGATGCTGGAGACGTCAGAACCGCTGTCTTCCGAGCAGGAGTGGCAGGCAGCGGGCGGCAGCGGGGGCTTGGTCGTAGAGAAGCAGGAGTCTGGTACTGTCACCGTGTAGTGAGTGGGGCGGCGGCGGGGAAAGGCGCTGCGACCTCTGCCCTCTGGTCCTGCCCGGAAGGACTCCACCCTGAACAGAGACAGAGAGACAGAGTGTGGGGGATGAGGTTAAAAGAGGTGAGGTGGACATTCCACCTCAAGGCCGGGGCATGGCACAGGTCTTAGGCCAAACCTCCCAAAGCAAACCAGCATCCTCCACACCCCGCTGCTGCTCCAGAATGTGTCTACAACACATTCCCTCTTTGCGTGCAAACTGTTCCTACTTATTCATGGTGCTCCTGGTTACCGTAAAGTATACTACACAATGTCGTGCATTTTTAGCCAGTTTAGGTACACTATGTCTAGTGGCATTTCATCTGCAGAATCCCTTCAGGCAGACACTGTGGGTATCTAACTTGAACGTGGGTTTTTTTGTTGTTATTGATTAGCAGGCCCAGCCCAACCGGATTGAAACCCACCAGCCCCAGTACACAGGGCCAGCTCTCTAACCATTGCAGCCTCTAACTTGAATGTGTAAAGGCTGTCGCTGGGTACATAGGGCAGCTCACTAGCCCAGAACCAGGAGGTGGAAATCCAGCCCTCATGCTGCTACTGCCCCTAGGTTTAGGGTTGTGCCTACATTTTTCTAAATTTGTACAGAGGCATGGTTTATAAAATGATCCTGGTAGCACGTAAAATATAACATTCATTGCTTTACTTGAGAGCAGTTGCCCAAGCTGCTCTCAGCCCGGTGCTGCCTGATCAACAACTTTAAGCAGCTGACAGAAGAATTCGGCAATGCTTTGATGGTGCCATGGTGTGGCCGATACTGCCTGTCATAACTCAGCCACTATTACCCAGTAGCAGGTGACTAGGAAAGTATCATACAGTCAATTCTCATTATTTGCAGATTTAGTGTCTGTGAATTTGCCTACTCAAAATTTATTTATAATTTCCAAATCAATATACCCTGGGCTTTCATGGTCATTCTCAAACACTCACAGGACAACAAAAAAAATTGAGTGACGAAAAGCCCACATGCCCAGCTGAGGTCAAACAAGGCCTGGCTCTGCTTTCTTGCTTCAGCTTTGAGATCACAAACATGTGTTCTCTTTGTGGTATATTTATTTAGTGTTTTTATATTTTTTGCTTTTGGTTGGTGATTTTGCTGTTTAAAACAGTCTGAAACTTAGTACTGAAATGCTGTCTAGTGTTTCTAACTAAGAGAGGGCTGTGATGTGCCTCAGATAGAAAATAATGCCTGTTAGATAAGATTCATCCAGGCATGAGTTACCATTGGCTATGAGCTCAATGTTAGAGAATCAATAATATGTATTAAACACAGTGTCTTTTAACAGAAACTCATATAAACCAAGGTTCTATGTTGATCAGTTGATGAAAAATGTTGTGACCAAAGACACCCAGGAATTTAACCTTGTATTTTTTCTTTTTGAGACAGAGCCTCAAGCTATCCCCCTGGGTAGAGTGCCGTGGCATCACAGCTCACAGCAACCTCCAATTCCCGGGCTCAAGTGAGTCTCCTGCCTCAGAACCTTGTATTTTTTCTAGGGGCAATGATTAAGTATTTGCTAATTTATTTATTTGTTTATTTAATTTGTCTGTTACCCTGGATAGAGTGCCGTGGCATTATAGCTCATAGCAATCTCAAACTCTTGGGCTTTAGCAATCCTCTTGCCTCAGCCTCCTGAGTAGCTGGGAATTCAGGGACCTGCCATAACCCCCAGTTAATTTTTCTATTTTTAGTAGAGATGGGGTCTCACTCTGGCTAAGGCTGGTCTCGAACTCCTGAGCTCAAGCAATCCACCTGCCTCAGCCTCCCAGAGTGCAAGCTTATGAGTGAACCACCACACTCAGCCAGTATTTGCTAATTTAATGCTTGAGACAATTTTACAGAAAATGTAACAACCACAAATAATGAGAATTGACCATGTCAAATGAAAAAGTGAATTGCCCATTATTAGTGACCAACCTAACCTACTAGCACGAGAAAAGATGGCAAAGAGAAAAAACTTGATGAATCAAGTTATACAAAAAGACAAAATTGCAGCCTTTGGAAGAAAATAACTTGCTTCACAGATGGCCTTTGACTTTGCTGATTGTGGTGCAACCTCTTTTAAGAGCTGCCCCAAGAAGGGCTTCTAAGAGAAGCTAAGGCACACTAGCCATGTGTCACCCAGGGATGTCCCACCTGTACTCAAGAAGCTATTATCTTCCAGCAGTAAGCTCTGGATGGGGGGATACCCTTGCATCTCAGAGGTGGACTGTCTCTTACCTCAGAGACTGTGACTGGCCCCTCCTCCCCTGCATCTCAGGTGTTGCCGGGGCACTGGTTCGGCCCTGCCGCTGGCCAGGAACACCACGGATGGGAACCATTTGGTAGGGGGCAGGCTCTAGCAGCCACAGGTTGGAGGTACTGGGCCCATCTTGTGGTGTGGTGGCAGGGCTGCTGCAAAGGAATTGGAGACAGGTTAGCAATAGAATGCCTCCATTCAGGGGCTCAAGAAGGGCAGAGATTGGGACTATAGTGGAAGGGGGCCCCCCATATGGGGACTATATTGGAAGGAGCCCCCAAGGATGGGGCCCCAATCCTTGGAGAGCTGCCAGAGTTCACACCTCCACCATCACACAGCTGCGTAAGTGATCCCCCACCTCTCCCTTTCCATCTGCCCCCCACCTGCGGCCTCCCCAACATAGTTCCCTCCCTTGGTCCTCCCTTCCCCCATCCTGACCTGGACTCGCTACAGGGCTCAGAAGATTTCCTGGGCTTCTCGTAGGGGTGGTCCAGGCTGGTCTCCTTCCAGGGGCTGTTCTGGATCGGGGCCCGCTCTGGGCCCTCAGTCTCAGGTCCTGCTGGCTGTAGCCCCTCAAGGCTTTGGGGTGGGAGAGGCCGGGAAGGTGGGGCCGGGGACTCTGGAGGAGGTTTTGGCACTTGAGATTCCTCTACAGGGGTAAAAGAAACTTGGTAAGGGCAGAGGCTGGGGAACCGGCCCAGCAAGAACCTCACAAACCACAGCCCGTGTCTTGCTCTCCCTCCCATGGCTGGCTGGTCCGACTGCTCCAGGCCATGGCTTCAGCCCCAGATGCTCAATGTTTACTTCTCCGTACGCCTTCCCTCGTAGCCCAACTTTATACCTTCCTCCCGCAAGAAGCCTCCTGAGATTGGCTCATACCACTCTGCTTTCTAACCTTTGCTCCTGGTGCCGTGTCTGCAGTTGTCCTTTTGCTTGCCTACTTTTCTTGTTTCTGCCAAGCCTATGTGCTCTGTTTCCTTACTGACCTGGGGACTGCCCTGGGCAGAACTGCGCTGTCTTCTTGGTCCACCTTGACCAAGAATTTGTAAACAGAATTCTCAATCTATAGATGCCTGTTCCCTCCCCCAGTGTTCCCTTCTTTTCAAAAAGGGCAATAATTGTTAGCAGATTAATCTTTAGCTCTGACCATATCATCTTGAAATGAAGCCCCAGGGTTACGGAGGACACCTGAGGTTGATAGGCTCTGCTGGAGTTCACCTATTCCCTGTCAAAATGGTGAGCGTCTAGAATGGGAGGTGATCAGCATGCCCCACCCCCAAATGAGCAGGTGCAGAGGCACATGGAAACGGACATCAGGTTTAAGTGGGGACCCTAAGCTCGCCACCCTCGCCTGCACTAGCTCACTAAAATCTCCACTCCCCCATTGAAGTCCTCGCTAACAGACTCTACCAAAGCCCCAAGATCTTGAAGTGAGAGCCCAGCTTCCATAGGAGTCCCCAAACCATCTCGCTCACCTTCCTCCAGGAGTAGCCCATCTGACAGGGAGCTGTCATCAGAGGCACTGAGCTCTGGAAAGGCAAAGGGGAAAGAAGAGAAGGAAGTGAGAGATTAACTCATAGACCTGAGTAACCAGCAGTGCTGAGCATCCCAGGCCTGATCCTTCTCCATGGATAGCAGACATATCAAGAAATATCCACTGTATGCTAAATACTAGACTGGGTATGAATTTATTACTGGAAGTTAAAAAAACCCAGAACTCAGGAAGTTAATCCTGCCTGTCATTAGCTATGCAGTCTTGAACAAATGATTTCAATACTCTAAATCTGTTTCCCTACCTATCTAAAAAACAAACCCCCCAAACCAGGACTTTCTGGTAGTGGGAGGGAGGGAAAGGCAAAGAGCCACTGTGGAAGGCCCTTGGGATGAAAAGAATTTCACCAACTTCTCTATAGTCTTCCAACATCACAGATATAATTCCACTCATTAAATCTGAGAACTCCTGCACTACCAACAAGAGCAGAATGAGGTAGGAATTTGAGCTGTGGGGTTGTGAGCCCAGTTTAAGTTAGGGTCAGGCCAGCTAGCCCTAGGGAAAGTCCTTCACCTGGTGATATGGCAAGTCACCTGAAGGAAATGGAGCCTGACATTTCTGCATGGTCCAGGAACAGTTGTCACCCAGGAAATCAGAGGGGATTTATTTTTACCATTGCCCTTAAACATACTTAAGCCTTCAAATCTTGAAAATAAGCCTGAGGTGACCTGGATGGAATTCACAAAGCATTTTCAACTGTGTTTGAGAAGAAAGATGAGGAAAAAGTAATAACTGCTAATATTTCTTCTGCGCTAATACTTTTCTAAATATAGTACTTTAGGCTCAGTGCCTATGGCTCGAGCGGCTAAGGCGCCAGCCACATACACTTAAGGTGGCGGGTTCAAATCCAGCACGGGCCTGCCAAACAACAATGATGGCTGCAACCAAAAAAACCAGCCAGGCATTGTGGCGGGCGCCTGTGATCCCAGCTACTTGGGAGGC